ACAGTGCACCATCATGCTTCTATTACCACATCCTCCATTAAACAGCCTCAGCTCCAACATTACAGAACCTTGTTCAACCCATCAGTCATGCAAACCACAGAAATGCTCCATAAGCTCCCTGGTCATCATCAGCTTCTACAGATGAACTTCCTGACAGCCACACAGAGCTTACCTCTGTCCTGCTGCATTTTCCTTTGAGTCCCTTTCACTCTGCTGTCTTCAGCCCTTTACTCAAGCATAAGAAAAAACAAAACGGCTGCCACTCCTCTGTTCTGTAACATAACAGACTGTTGGAACATCTGGTGTAATTCCTCTAAACATCTCTTCCTGCAAAGTGAAAGCACCGTCACTTCCTCAGATTGTCCTTAAAGATAATTTCTTGAGATTTTTTTCGTAGCCCTCCACTAGATCTTACTCTATTCCATCGGTGTCATTTTCTGTACTTCGCTTGATACTTGAGAATTGTCAAGCAAAGACAGAGACAATATCAATCCTTCTGCCAAACTGCCCATAGTAGTTTTGATACAACCCTGGATGTCATCATCCTCCCCTGTTAATGCAGGGTGCACCATGTACCTTCCCACACTCCCCAGCATATAGATGCACCCCTGACAAAGGTCCTGTATCCAGGAAAGGGGAATGAAAAGCACTGGAGAATGCGGGCATCGATCCCACTACCTCTCACATGCTAAGCAAGCGCTCTACCACTTGAGCTAATTCCCCACCCTGCAGCCTCTCACCAAGGTCCTCTCTGTTGCCAGGCACCCAGCCCTGACCCAGGATGCCCTGCATCCAACACTGGAACCCCTCCTAATGATCTTCACTCTCAGACTACCACCAACTCACCTTCCTGTTGGAGGTGAACCCTGGCAACTCCAGAGCTCAGAACCACCGTGCCCTGCCCAAAGGTTCACTCAAAAATGCCTTGTCCGATCATCTTACCAGCTTCAGGCAAGAGCTCATGCCTGGACAGCCCTTTGAAGGGAAGCCTCCTGGGCAGGACCATTAAAAAGCAGTGCTGCCAGTGCAGGATGTGTGCCAGAGGCAAAAGGTGACTCCTTCGAGCCGGAGTTGAACCAGCGACCTAAGGATGGCCATGCACGGGAGCCTACAGTCCTCCGCTCTACCAGCTGAGCTATCGAAGGAAGCATGGGGAAACTATTGCTCAATTTGACCCTATAGAACATACTTCCCTGTCTTCAAAACATTGCCATCTTCATTCAAAAGCACCCTCATCAGACCCACCCCTGTGTCAGAGTCTGGCCTGATCTCACTTTTCAGCCTAAGCCTCCCACTGACAGTACTCTTGAGTTTATTTCACTGACTTCATTTCCCTAAGTACCCAGTCCATCTCAGGCACGCTTATCCATCTTGTGGGATAGCTGTTTGTCTGTTTGTTGTCACTTTTCTCTCCCCTGCTTGCTTGCTGCTCTGGAGGGCTGCAGCGGGCAGTGATCCTAAGGTGGTGAAGGAGAAGGCCATTCACCATCAGAAAAATATGAATAGACATAAACCCATGGTTTTGGCATAGGAAGTATCCTCCAAACTCCTTTGTTCTTTTCACTCTTTTTTGGTCTTTTTTTTTGGTCTTCTTCTTTTTTGTCATAATGAACCCTGTTTATTACCTAAGTGTGAATGTCACTTTTCCAGGGACACACAGGTACCCACAGTACTATATAGCTAGTACTTTGTGTTATGTCATAGTTTTTTGTCCTTACTTTTATTGTTTCTTGGCTTGAACCTAACAGAGTCCTTTGTCTCACTTGCATGGATTGCGCTGCTAATATACCAATCTTTTTTTTCCCATTGCTAAATCATCTCCAATTAGTATATGTCATCTCACTGTGCAGATAGTTGTTTTGGTAATGTAGTCTTTTTCGTGAGAACATTTGTCCCAAAATCAAAATAAGAACATAGATTGTCTTTTGTTAATTGCTGAAAGTAATCCTGTTAGTAGTCTAAAACAATGCCAGGTAAAGTGAGAGTGCAACTAATATGTTTCATCTTTTTAAAACTATATTCTTTTCAAGTTATTATTTTTTTATGAGATTGTTTGGGATGTAGACCAGACAGAAGATGTCTTTGAGTCTCTGGGAAAAGAAAGAAAGGCGGGAAATTGATTTTGATTGCCTGATGCCTGCAAACATGCATGGGTTTTCAAAAGTAATTCTTCTCCCTTTTTTTTTTCTCTCTCTCTCTTTTATTTTTTCCCCACCAATTGTTGAGGCTTGTTTTCAGGTAAGAAAAGGGATAGATTGCATAATTTACTTAAATACTTGGATGACACATAATGTCATTAGTCATGCAAGACTTAGCTTGTTTTTTCAGTTCTCATATTTAATTTTTTATTGTGTTTAGGGCACATGTTAAACATTAACAAAACTTTGTGTTTAAGGTGCAATATGCACAGTATGACTGAGCATGAACCTATTCATGCTATTAGACACATGTTTAAGGAGTTATTTATGACTTATGATTCTGTGACTTGAGTTCAACAGAATTGAAGAGATCGTTGGGAGAAGCTACTCCCAGGCTTGTATCGGTCTTGATACTGACAAAATGTTTTCCAGGCAGGAGCTGTCATCAGGAACAAAGCAGTTACTTTTTACTGGAGGAGTAACCTGTACTGGGACTTCAGAAGGAAATCAAGTAGGACTCTACTCTGAGGCTAAATTTGTTAGAGGAAGTGTAGGCACACTGCCTTCACACCACAAACATTATTTTTGGTCAGAGCAGTTATGGCTAGCTCTCAAAATATTTAGAGAATATTAAGATAATATTTACAATATGAAACATAAGCTTGGCTGTGATTGTATAAGCTTGAAATACTTTTAGAAAACTTTCGATGCCACTAGAGGTCAGCACTAGTCATTAAATAAATGTCCTGGAGACTGCAAGCTCTTTACAGGGAGTGGTGATTTTTGAAAATATATACTTCTGTCTGTGCTTGTTTAGCAAGTGTGTGTGAGTTCACACTATCAGTGCTTCAAGATGGTTGGAAGCAAACCCCTTCTTCTCGATGCTGTGCTTCCCCAGTGCTGTGAGCCAAGAATCACACACTGAACTTTTTAAACTGCACCTGTCCTCAAATGCTGTAGTGCCGAGTATAGTCAGAGGGAAAAAGCAGTGTCAAATCTTGTCCTAGTAAAGGCTACTACTACTCCACTCTCACACCACACAGGGATTACTGCATTTAGCTCTGGGCACCCCAAGATAAGAAGGACATGGACCTGCTGGAGCAAGTCCTGAGAAGGGACATGAGGATGTTCAGAGAGATGGAGACAGGCTGAGAGAGTTGGTGTTGTTTGGCCTGGACAAAAGAAGGCTCCAGGGAAATCTCAGAGCACCTTCTAGTACCTAAAGCAGTCCTGCAAGAGAGCTGGAAAGGAACTTTTTACCAGGGCATGAAGTGATAGGAGAAGGGGCAATGGCTTTAAACTAAAAAGGAGTATGCTTAGATTAGATATTAGAAAGAAATTCTTTACTGTAGAGGTCATGAGGCACTGACACAGCTTGCTCAGGAAAGTTGAGGATACCTCATTCCTGGAAGTCTTTCAAGGTCAAGTTGGATGGAGCTTTGAACAACCTGGTCTAGTGGAACTTGACCATGGCCAAGCTGAGGGGCCAGACCTAGATGATCTTTAAGGTTCCTTCCAACCCTAACCATTCCCCAGTCCTATGAAAATAACCATTTTATTATGACTCCTATGATGATCTCATGACTATCCCCGTTTACTGCTTTAAGGATTGTCTCAGAAGCGCAGCAGTGGGGCCAAAGACAAGCACTTGAAACAGGGATTAACTCCTTATGCTTTTCCACCATGTGCTTCAAAAAGATGCTTCCCTTCTATTGCAGCTCCTAACTGCTCTCCATCATCACTGTCTGCGCTTCTGCAAACATAGACACTGTTTACAACATTTTAATGTAGCTACTATTGATAGGCAATTGAACACAGAATTTCCTTTGCTATAAAGAAAATAATCTTGCCTGGATAAGCAGTGTGATCATCATGTTTTTAAACAACTTTTAAAAATCTTTATCTTTGCTAAAACCTGCTAAATGATGCAAATGAGTTGGCAGTCATAATGCAACAAATGCCTGTCATTTATTATCATGTTGCAATCTGTGCCTTCATCATATATCACTGTCTACTTTAACACAGTAGCTGACTAGGTATCAATACACAAAGTTCATTCTCAGTGTAATAGGCACACCTCTCATCAAAACTTTCATGCTGGTTGGTTTGTGTCCTTTGGTTCCTTTGTGTCACTTTTCTTCCACTGAGTACATCAGAGCTGGAAAAATGAAGGCTGAACACACAATTCAGAATTATTATAACTCTATGAAAATATATATTTATAATGTTTTGTGTCTGTATACATGTACATATACAGATGACATATTTTCCCTCTGATTTTTTTTTTGTGTCTCCTATTTAAGAAAATTGGCTCTGAAATATCATCCTGACAAGAATCCAGACAATCCAGAGGCTGCGGAAAAATTTCAAGAGATCAACAGTGCTCATGCAACCCTGACTGATCTCTCCAAGCGAAACATATATGACAAGTATGGATCATTAGGGCTCTATGTGGCAGAACAGTTTGGTGAGGAAAATGTTAACACCTACTTCATGCTCTCAAGCTGGTGGGCAAAGGTAAGCTGCTATTTTCTTTTGGAAATTAAATGTTACAATGCACACAATTCCATACACAAGGAACCCCCTGAAAAACATGAACTCTCTACAGGCTTAAGAAATAGTACAATTTTACTCTAAATGAAAAGCTTACTAAAATTATCTGGAAAATCGACAGTGGCAGAATGTAATGTAAGCTCAGGCTAGCACTAATATAGAAAGTTTTCTCTTTTTTTTTTAACCTGGTACATAATTATAGTACATGTTTTGTAACACTTTCAGACATTAATTAGTTTTGAATGTAGTGCTCCAGGTTAATTTTGACTTTCTTTTCTGTAATGACTAGATAAAAATGACTCATTATTCAAACACAAGAAGTCCCATTTATGTGACAACCAATTAATAAATTATTACGGTACAGATTTAGCTGTCTTTTTTCGTTATATATAGCACACAACATAAGTAAGCAATAATAATACATAACACTGTGGTTATGGCATTCTATATATGCCCTGGTGATGGAGTGAGAGAAAGGAACTCAAAGAAAAGCTTAGAAGAGTGGAATGGAGGAAGAGAGTAGGACAGGAAGAGAATGGTGCATCAAAACCCTGCATGTTGCTTAAGAAAAAACACATAATGGGCTGTTCTAGTCATGAAGGAGTTGGGTTCATTTGTTCCCTTATCACATTGGTGTTCTCTGATGTTTAAATATATCAAATTCAAGTGTTTCTGCAAATACTGAAATGTTACAGATACGCACCAAATAGAATTGCAAATGTGCAAAATCCATGCAGTCCCCACCTGTTTCCAGCCACACAAGCACAGGAAAGCACTCTGCTGGAGTGTGAGAGAATACATAGGAAGATGATCTGTACTGTTTGAAGCAAGCATGCATTGGCAGTTTTTATCTGAGAACTGTGGAAGAGGTTTCTCAGTTCAGCAAAGAACAAGCCAGTGCTGCATTGCCCCACATTTCCCTTTTAAGCTGGAAGTCACTTGGTCACTTTGAGGGTGTGAAAAGCCGTAATTTGACTTCGGAATCAGGATGAGGCAGAAGCTGCTCAAATGCAGAACAGTGCATGAAACCAGTGAATAAAGTACTGGTGTTGAAATTAAACTTGCAAAGCTCTGAGAGGCTGGTTGTACACTGCCTGCTTGCAGCTGCTGTAGCTGCCTCCTGCTGCAGGCCAGACACCCCACCATAGCTACTGACATCTGCTGATAGATCATTCCTCCTTGTCTTTGCTGTCCACCCTCTCCTCCTGCCTCTTTGCCACAGTTAGGTGGCCTTAGCACTGAGAGGGCAACAGTGTTGACTCCTTTAACAGTTTTTGGCAAAAAATATTTTCTTTGTTGTTTCTTTTTTTTTTAGCTTCTATTTTTCTTTTATTTGGTGATCTTTAATGGAGATTTTATGGAGTATAAAATCCTCTAGGATCATAAAACCAGGTACAAAAATAACCACTGTGGCTTTGACTCATAAAGAGAGCAGTGGGGAGTACAGAGAGAAAC